AGCCGCCCCTGCCCCAGCCTGGCCCGGCCTCCACCCGTGGCTGACACCCTCCCGGGGGCCCCGCCCAGGAGGTCAGACAGGCGCCACCCACCAGGCTTTCTGGAAGGGCAGGAGAAACGCCACCCAGAAGGCCTCCGCCCAGTGTGAGGTCGTGGGTGTGAGGTCCCACCAGCCTGACGGGGTCATCCCCTGGGCTGGAGGTTTCTGTCTCCAGGACAGAGCCTGGGAACCCCCAGCTGGCGGCCGGGCCTGAGGGTGCCTCGCTGTGCTTATTTAAAAAAAAATAAAAATAGGTTTTTACTGATGTCAGAGAAGAAGGGAGAGGGAGAGAGAGAGAAACATCCGTGATGAGAGAGAACCATGGATCCGCTGCCTCCTGCATCCCCCACACTGGGATGGAGCCCGCAGCCCGGGCACTGCCCCGACCGGGCATCGAGCCAGGACCTCCTGGTTCATAGGCCAATGCTCAGCCACGGAGCCACGCCGGCTGGCCTGGTTGCTCATGTTCACGGGGGCGCAGGGCACCCGGCCGGAGGCGCGTGGACTCTCCTTGGGGGTGTGTGGCCACTTCGCAGAGAAGGGACCTGGGCTGGCCCCGGCGCCCACAGTGTCAGGAGCACGGACCTGGCCCACAGCCACGCCAAGCGGGAGGGACCCTGCCCGTCCGCCTCCCAGCCCACACCCTCACCCTCGGCCACCTGGGGCGTCCCTGGTGTTGGGGCTGTGGCTGCTGTCCCAGCCCCTCTTGTGCGAGTCCTGGCCACTGCCTGCAGCCCTTCACCCCTGTCCTCCTCTCCCCCTGACCCCCAGAGGCGGGGGGAGGCAGAGGGGCTGTGTGCACAGCCCGCAGAGCTCGCTTAGCCTGGAGGGCTCCTCTGGGTGCTCGGTGCCTGGTGAGGGTCTGGCGCGCAGTAGGTGCGCAGTCAGTCCCTGCCGGATAGGTAAAGGGCCCCGGTTAGGAAAAGGCAAAGCTCCGGGGCTGGCGGAAGGGGAGGGCGGTGTTGGCAGCGAGGGCTGGAGCGGGTGGGAGCCACAGGGGGCCTTAGGGAGGCTCTGGAGCGTGGGGAGGATGCTGCCACTTCGGTAAAGTCCCTCCGGCCGGCTGCGGGGCAGGCTGGGCCAGAAGGCAGCCCGTCCTCCAGGGGCGCCGGACGGAGCTGGGCCGGTGGGGGCAGGAGAGGCGGCCGCGGGCTCGGCCGGCTCTGCCAACCATGACCTCATGCCTGGGCCGCGTCTCCCTGCGCCCGGAGCAGACGCGGGCTTGGCAAGGGCTCGGATGGGCACGCTGATGTGATGTGGCCCGAGGTGTCTGTCAGCGGCCGTTGGCCTGCTTTCCTGCCGAGGCAGAGGCCGCGCCTGCGGGGGGCGGCGGGGAGGGGGTGCAGCCGGGCCAGCTGCCACCAGTCTGGCCAGCCTCAGGCCCCGCGCGGCTCCCCACGCGGCTCCCCACGCGGCTCCTCACGCCGGCTCCCCACGCCGGCTCCCCATGCAGGCACAGGACAGCGCTCAACAGCTGGCAGAGCCCTCCGGCCTGGGCGGTTCCTGTCACATCACACACGTAGGGAAACTGAGGCTCGGGGTGAAGTGAGAGCGGGGGGAGGGTGGGATGCAGAGCCAGGACCTGGTGCAGAGCTGCCCATTTCCGCCCTCTCTCTGTCTCATTGTGAATTCTTGCCCCTTGCCCTCCCCTTCCTCTCCGTCTCCCACCGTGCTGGGGCTTGGTCTGGGTGCATCGTGGGAATAAGCCGGTTCTGAGAGCAGCTAACACTTTTCAGGCAGGCGCTCGCTGCCAGGCAGTTGGGCATTTGTTGCCTCATGAAGCCCTCACTCCCCTTTAGACAGGCAAGCAGGCCCAGCCTGTCTGTAACTCGCCGAGAATAGGGCAGCTGTGAAGGTGGGGTTTCCCTCCCAGCTGGCTCTCAGACCTCAGCATCCAGGGGGCCGTGTCAAATGAGAGAAGCTGGGTGACGCTGCCTCAGCTCCCAGGAGCTTGTGCTGCAGGGGCGGCCGGAGCAGGGGGGCTCCTCGTCCCCTGCCCCTGCCCCTGCCCCTGCCCCTGCCCCTGCCCCTGCCCCGTCCCTGCCCCTGCAGCTCTGGCCTCAGCCACCTGACCTCCTGCAGGGCCCAGGGGTTGGAGTGAGGGGTGGCGCTTGGAGGGCTGTGTGGAGCCGATGTGGGCGTCATTGCCGCCGTGAGCACCACCTGGCCCAGAGACAGGCCAGCCCCCGGCCCCCAGGCCCATCTGCCTCTGTGCCGGCCAGGCCAGCAGCCGCTCTGCAGGGGCATCTGGCCTGACAGGGAGGAGCTGGCAGCACCAGCCCTGGCCCCCTGGCACCCGCGTGCTCTGGCCCCGGCTCCAGCCCCTCCGCTGGCAGAGGTGGGCCAAGCGTGGTCCAGGGTCCAAGGTCACCCCTAGGCTCCCTCCCCCACCCCGTCCCCTTCTGGGGCCTGGATTTCTGCCTGAAGGGGGCGGGGCCTTCTTTAAAAGCACGTGAGCCCAGTGGAGTGTCATCAGCATCAGAAGGACGAGACGCTGACCGTTGCTCCCGCTTGGCCAACCTCGACAGCCTGAGGCTGAGGGAGAGGGGCCGCACGGCCACAGGTTGTAGGATTCCCGTCACGTGACTCGTCCTCTCGCAGTGGCTGGGAGGGGCAGTGACGGCTGGGGTACAGGGTTTCTTGGGGTGCTCAGATGGCACAGCTGAGCCTGGAGGAGGGTGTGGCCAGCCCATGGCCAAGAAGCCACAGCCCTGGAGCCCAGGTCCGACCAGGGCATCTACCTGGTCCACGCCCGCTCCGAAGGCTCTGCCAGCAGGACGCACAGTCACGCCTCCTGCGGGGCCGGGATGGGGGCGGATATGAAACTGATGTAAACGCTGTAAATCGCCTGCAGACGTTTAGTGTCTGTTACCGTGGTAACCGCCCAGCACTTAGGGACCACATTGGCCTGGGCGCTCTTGGTTACACCGCTGCTTTAATGTAATAGCGTTGTTATTGCTCCGTCATAAATGTCCTATAAATTATGCATGTGTCCACACGCATCACACCACACACGCAAAACACACGCGTTTCTGCATACCCGTTGTACCTCGGTGGAGCTATTAAAATATGTGTTTGTTACGGAAAGTCCAGGGTCAGGAAAGGAGGAGGAGAAGGGAATTAAAGAAAGAGAATTAAAAATATCTTAATCCAACCACCTAAGGCACCTCTGCGGGCAGGGTGGACCTCGCCGCCAGGCTCCTCTGTGCCGGCGTGTGCTGCTGGTGAGGCTGCGGCCGCCGGTCTGTATGATGACAACATGTGTGCACCACGTGCTATCCTGCCCTTCCCAGGCTGCTGGGAGGAGACGGCAAGAACCGGGCCACGTCTGGGACCCGGCGCTGCGGGGCTGTGCCCTGGCGTGTGGCTCTCCGTGTCCCCGGGTGAGGGGAGGGGAGACGGGGGAGAGGGGAGGCGTGCCAGCCCTGGGGCCTGGCTGCACCCACTGCCGCCCTCGTGTGCCGTCCCAGGCGGCTCCTGTGCGTCTTTGCCAGCGGAGTGCCCTGGGCCTCCCTCCTGGCCGGTGCCTCCGCCCGCCGCCGCCTGCCCCCGAAGCGCCTTCTTCCTCCTGTTTCTTTCCCGCTGAAGCCCGTGTCCCCGCGGCTCCAGCCTCAGTGGCCTCGGGACAGGAGAAGCGAATTTAAGGACTAAAAGCGGGAGAGGCCCTCGGTGGGGAGCAGCTCTGGAGCCAGAGGGAGCGGAGCTCTGAGCTGAGCAGGAGCCACGGGCGGGGAGGGGAGTGTCAGGGTGCGGGGGAGGGAGGGGCTGGGGGGGAGGGCGTCCCGTACTCTCCGTCAAAACGGAACGCCCTGGCATTGAGCACGGATGTTTGTATCACGCATGTGCTGGTCCTGCTGACCAGAGCTTGTTCAGGCCGGGGCCCGGCCTGGGCTGTCACACACGCATCCCCTGTCCTCCTCCTGCCCCCCACCCCGGATCCGCGGGCTCAGCCTGGCCGGGCATGGCCACGGCCCAGGCTGCTGGCCTGCCTGCTGGTGTCCCACAGGCCCAAGCAAACCAGGGCCCAGCCCAGAGGCAGGGTGGGAGGGTGTGCGGCAATGTTGGGGTACCCCGCAGGGGCGGGGGGCGGGAGATTGGGCTCCTGATGTGGCTGCCTCGGGGATGCAGGTAACAAACCCTGTCTGACTCCAACTTCGACTCTGAGACCTCGGCTTTCCTCTGACATAAGATGGGGGTCGTTGGAGGCAGTGGTTTGGCCCCTCCCGCGCGCCCCCCTGTGGAGGTCAGCCCAGCTGGGCAGGGCGGGGCCAGCAGAGCCTGGGAGGCTGCCGTAGGGAGAGGCAGAGACCTGGGAGGGGGGGATTGGGCATGAAGACTGAGCCGGGGGGAGGAGGGGGAGAGGGGGAGAGGCAGGCCGGCCAGCAGAGGACGGAGCTGCCATCACCGAGTGGGGGCTGCTCAGAAGAGGGGGGTGGAGGGATCAGGGTTCGGCTTGGGACCAGTGGAGGGTTTTAGCAGAGACACACCATGACTTGAGGGACCCATCGCCTGGGCAGCTGTGGGAGAGCAGTGAGGGGGGCCCAGGAGGCGTGGTCTGATGGGTGGCTGTTGAAAGTAGACCCGCTCTGCCTGTGAGTGCCCCCAGGACTGTGAGGTCCCAGGGGTCCCATCCACGGGAGCTCAGCGGGGCAGGAAGGGGTGTCGTTGGTCTTAGTGGCCCCCGGAATTGGTCAGTGAGTGTCAGGTTTGCTTCCCAGTCACCTGGCGGGCACAGGGGGGATCCCTCACACTGCTTCCGGAAGGAGCCGAGGCGGGAGGCAGGAAGGAGGCCGAGGGAACAGGCCTCTGCCCTGTGGCCGCGGGGAGGAGGGGCAGGGTCTCCCCCTCCTCAGGCTCCTGCTGACTGGTGGGGGCCCTCTGGGGGTGCAGGGCCTCTGGGTGGGGCGAACGGCACGGGACTGGGTCCTAACAGCCTCGCCTTCCTGTCTCTCCCTCCCCAGCCGACGTCATCTCCACCGTCGAGTTCAACCACACGGGAGAGCTGCTGGCCACCGGCGACAAGGGCGGCCGGGTGGTCGTCTTCCAGCGGGAGCCGGAGGTGCGGGGGGCCCGGAGCGGGGGTGAGGGGGCTGTCTTCAGAGGTGCCCCACGGCCCACCGGCTGGTCCCGGGGAACTCCCTGCCTCCCGCAGGGTCCCGGCTGGCTGGAGAAGGTGCGGTGCAGGGTGGGGCCGCAGGTCTGGGGCAGGGAGGCCCAGGACACTCAGCAGATGTTCACTGATGGCGCCCTGCACCCGGGACCCGGACACGCACCCTGGGCGCTGTCTTACCCTGGGAGGAGGGGGCTGTGGCTGGCCCTCGGGCGGGGGGCGGTTTGCTAGGCCCAGGCCTGAGCCCCAGCCACCTTCGTGGTCCCGCAGGATTCGGGTAAGATGGGGCGGCCTGGGACTCCCCGCCCAGGCGTGCTGTTTCTGAGCCGCTGACAGAAAGGGGTGAGAAAAGGCCCCGTTTATTGAGCACCTACTATGTGCTGCTGTCATAAAAACGCTGTCACCTGGGAGGCGGCCCCTGGTGCCCTCGGTGGTCTCCACCTCATTAGTTTGGGACTCTGCTGCCCACGCCTGGATGGGACCCTCCAGCGAGGGGAGCCGAGGAGCAGTCCCCTGCCTGAGCCTGACATCACAGGGCACTGCCCGGGGGACAGTCTGCTTCAGAGCACACTCAGTCCTCACGTCCTGCCCCGTGGACATGTGGGCGTGAGGGGCAGGCCACAGCCTCAGCCTCCGCGACAGACGGGCCCTGTGGGGGGTGCTACACTCAGTGGTCTCGTGGCCTAGGCAGGTTCAGCCCCCCCTGAGCCTCCCCTTGCTGACCTGAAAGATGGGAGAGTCACGGTACTCAGCATAGAGGAGAGGAGGCGTGGCATGCTCTGAGCTACGTGTCCAGCACACAGCGGGCGCTCAGGAAACAGGAGCTGGCGAGTCCCACAGCCACACAGCAGGAGTCGAACGTGTCGGGTTTCCTGTGACCTGGGTGGGTCCAGCGGCACTGTGGGCGCCAGCCGTCGTGGCTGTGAGGCCCGCCGTGGGTTAACCCCGGGCCCAGCACCGGCCTGTTCCCCCGCCGCCCTCGCTCAGGCCCATGGGTGTCCTTGCAGAGTAAGAATGCGCCGCACAGCCAGGGCGAGTACGACGTCTACAGCACCTTCCAGAGCCACGAGCCGGAGTTCGACTATCTCAAGAGCCTGGAGATAGAGGAGAAAATCAACAAGATCAAATGGCTGCCCCAGCAGAATGCCGCCCACTCCCTGCTGTCCACCAACGGTGAGGGCGTGCTGCGTGCGCGGTGCCTGTGTGTGTGTGTGCCTGAGCATGTGTGTGCATGTGTGCGGGTGCAAGGCATGTGTGGACCCGTGCATGTGTGTGCAGGTGCGTGCCTGGGCATGTGTGTACATGCATGAGTGTGCATGCCTAAGTGTATGTGTGCATGCATGTGCGTGTGTGTGCCCGAACAGGTGTAGGCGTGTGATGTAATGATTTACAGCAAATGCTGTTTTCACCTGACACAGTGAGCGTTTTTCTAAAAACATCTGAGCCGCGTGTAATTCAGCCCCATGAATGTGCCCCTGTCCCGCCGTCCCTGTTGGACACGGGCCCTGCCATGGTCACGCACAGCAGCCGTGAACACGGCTGACTATCCCCCAGGATGGGGGCTGGCACTCCGAGGAGGGAGGGGCCGGGAGCACAGGGAGCCTGCGGCAGCGCCACCTGCACCCTCAGTCCAGGCCCCTGGAGGCGTCTGGCCGGGTCCCCTCTTCCTGGGGGCCCCGTCTGTTTGCTCGTAGGGCCTTCACGGACTGGGCCAGGCCCCCCGGCCAGGGACGGTCTGTGCACTGTGGGTTAGAGGTTGCTCTCCTCTCAGAACGCCTGCGCAGTGACGTTCACACACGTTTGGCCAAATGGCTGGGGGCTGCGGCTCGGCCCAGTCAGCACGTAAAGTTACCCTCACAGCCACCCAGATACTCTCTCCATGCTGTTGGTGGGTGGCCGAGAAGTGAGTTGCCCGGAGAGGGGGTGCTGGCCGGGGGCGGGGGTGCTGCTTGGAAATACAGGGCTTCCCTTGGGGCATCAGGGAGGGGCTTGGAGACTTAGAGCTGAGTCAGGGCCATCTCTGACAACTGCCCTGAGCGTGCTGTGCCCTTTGACCTGTGATGTCACCATGGGATCCCGGTGGGGAGCGCGAGAAGGCAGGCGGGGTCCCCCGCCCGGAGGGGTTTGCTGGGGCTGTTCCCTGAATGAACCGCCTCTCCCAGCTCGGAGTGGCGGCCCGGCGAGCTCTGGGCCGGGCGTCAGCGTCAGCGGGCTAGGGCGGGCGGACAGCCCATGCTCCGTGTTAGCCCGTGTTAACACGTGTTAACCGTGGGTCTTGTCTCCCCTCGTTCTGTTTTTAAAGACAAAACCATCAAACTGTGGAAGATCACCGAGCGCGATAAGAGGCCGGAGGGCTACAACCTGAAGGACGAGGAGGGGAAGCTCAAGGACCTGAGCACAGTGACATCCCTGCAGGTGGGCTGCCGCGGGGGCTGGGCCGGGCTCCGTTCCCAGCCGATGGGACGGGGCTCCAGCACAGTCAGCGCAGGCCCTGCCTGCGCACCCGCCTCTCCGCGCCCGGAGTCCGCACGGAGCTTTTCAGTCTGCAACCCGTGTCACACAGGGGAAACTGAGGCCCAGAGGGGGGCAGGAGCTCACTGACACCGAGCCCTGTGCTGAGGGGCGGAGGGAGGCCTGGGGCTGGGCCTCGTGCTGCTGCTATGAAGACTCAGCTTCTGTGATTGCTGAGCGCGGGTGGGTAAGCCACGGAGCTGAGCTAGAGCCAGCTCCCATTCTCACCACGATTCAGAGGCCAAAGGACTCCTCTGTCCCAGCAGAGGGACCGGGAGAAAGTCCCGTGGGTCACGGGCCGGAGTTCGAGTCCTGCCTCTGCCACTTCCTGGTGGTGAGACCCGGGCTTAGCGCCAGGCTGCACAGCCTCGGTTCTTCAACCTGTTCTCTGAAGAGAACAACTCCAAATAACTACTGAGATTTCACTCTGATTGAGGGGAGACTCTGGCAGGGTGTGTCCTCCCAGCACGTGGCCTGGGTCAGCTCCCTGACCCTCACCCACCTCCTGTCCCGTGGGGTTATCTCCCCATTTCTCAGACGCGGGAACCCGAACCCGGGGCAGGCTGGCCCAGAACTGGCACCCGGATGCTCTCATGGGGCCAGGAGGCCCTGTCTCACGGGAGAGCTGCCGGACGGTCATGGCGTCCGCGGGGAGGATGTGGAGAATCCGTACCTTCCCCCGGAAGCAGATCAGGAAGCACACGGCGCGCCTCTGCTGTCCCCCGCTTCCAGACACCGGGCGCGGAGCGGGTGCTGCGGACCTGCTTGCTGAAGGAGGAGCTGGTGCACAGCTGACCCGGATTTACCCGTTCACACACATTTCCTGAGCACCTACTGTGTGCCAGGCCCGCTGGAGGTCCTGGGGGCGGCAGTGAGCACAGAGCCCGAGGGAGCATGGGGCCGGTCTTCTCGGTGCCCAGTCCTGGGACCAGCTGCCTCAGAGGAGGTGGCCCAGAGGGCTGTGCAGGGCCAGGACCAGTGTCGGGAAGTGATGCCCTCTTCAGCTCCTGTTTGCGCATTCCAGCAGACTTTAAAAAATACATTTTTATCGATGTCAGGGGAAGGCAGAGGGAAAGAGAGATGGAAACATCAAAGATAAGGGAGGATCGTGGATCGGCTGCCTCCTGTATGCCCCCTCCTGGGATCTAGCCTGCATCCCGGACATGTGCCCTGACGGAATCGAACTGTGACCTCCTGGTTCACAGGTCAGTGTTCCACCACTGAGCCACACCGGCCGGGCGTCCCAGTGGATTTGGAAAGGCTCGTTCCCGTCACGTGAAATGCCGTCTCCCTCAGTTCGCTCCTCAGCTGCGAGTGTGGCTGCTCCAAGGGGTGCCGCCTGGCTGTGGTGTGAGCGCGTCTCCCGGCTCCCAGCTCCCCGCACTGCCGTTGGGTGGCTGGGGGCACCCCCAAGCCCCCCTCCCCCCGCTCCCGCCTCAGTTTCCTCACCGGCAAAGTGGAGACGATGCCTCGCCTTTTCTGAGAGGACAGCTGGGCACGCACAGAGCCTCCGCCATTGTCATGAACATGAAGCAGAGACCAGTGCTGCTCCCCGGGGGGAGAAACACGTGTGTGAACACGGCGGCTCTGCGTGGCCGGGGAATTGCACCGATAAACTCTGAGAACCAGGGACGCCAGTTTTCTTGGCTATTGAGTAGCGGAGTGTCCCACCCCCACCGCCCGCCCCGGAAGGGCTGGGAGTGTTTCCTCTGGTGGCAAAGATGCAATTATCACCTCCTGATGGCCTGCTTCGTCTGCGCAGAGCCCTGGCCCGCGGGAATCCTGCTTATTTCCCTCCCAGCGTCTGAGAGGGTCTTGTAAGTCCCGCACATCCCGAGGCGGCACTTAACGTAAACCGAGGCTGCAGGAGGAGGGGGGAGGGCGTGGATCTCTCCTCCCCCGCCTCCCAGCCGGGAAGCCCCTAGCACAGACCGAGGGACCCGCTGTATTAGCTCTGAGCTGGCACCAGCCTCACCCCTCCCAGAACAGGAAGCGGAGGCCTGAGAAGTGACCGTGAAGGCGGCACTGTGCGTGGCCGGGCAGGTTTCCATGCTGCAGGCAGGTCTCCGTCTGTAGGACCCTCAAGGGCGGGCACTCCAGCTTCCTGTCCTGACTCTCATTTCCTGGCCCTGGGACTTAGACAAGTTGGGTTCATCTCGGCATTCAGTCTTCGCACCGGTGATGTGGGGGTGGCAGTGCCAGCCCCCTTTCCTGGGCATCGAGCCCAGGCCAGGCCACTGTGTCTGTCCGTCTGTCCGGCACCTTTGAAACCTTCCATTTTACTGGAGTGACACTGCAGTGATGCTGAGCTCTAATATTATAGAGAGGTGGGCCGTGTGCTGGGTGTGTCCGGGGGAGGGGGTGTCAGCCCTGCCTACCAGGGCAGCTGCACACTTCTGGGGGGCTGTTGCCTCCAGATCTTGCAGGAGGAGTTGGGGTTCACTGGCTGTCCCAAGGGGGTCGGGGGCACTCCGGGCAGAGAGCAAGAAGGGAAGCAGAGGCGTGCGTCTGATACTGTCTCAGGGACTCCTCGCACGCCGAAGGCGGGAGTTCCTATGAGTTAGGCTAACACTGAGGCTCTGACAAATGACCCCTCATTGCAGGGCAGAGCACACAGAAATGTCATTCTCACCCTGGCCAGTTCGGCTCAGTGGATAGAGCGTCAGCCTGCGACTAAAGGGTCCTGGGTTTGATTCTGGTCAAGGACACAAGCCTGGAATGCAGGCTCGATCTCCAGTGTGGGGCATGCAGGAGGCAGCCGATCAATGATGCTCTCTCATCATTGATGTTTCTGTCTCTCCCTCCCTCTCTCTTCCTCTAAGTCAATAAAAATATATTTTTAAAAATGTTTAAATATAATTCTCGCTTCTAGTAAAGTGCATGTGGGTTGGCAACTGGCTCTCCTGCAGGGACACAGCCTCCTGCCATCCCATGTGCCTCCATCCCTAAAGGTTGGGTCTCCACCTCCCTTCAGTGGAAGAGAAAGAGGATAGAAAAAGGCACACCTGCCTCTTAACTACCTTGGCCCATAGTGCAGGGCATCACTGTACTCACAGTCCATTGGTCAGAACCAGTCATGTGGCCACACCCAATGCAAGGGTAGCTGGGAAATGTAGTCCTTCTATGGGCGGCCACTGGTCACTTCCTGGTAGGACAGTCAGCTGACTCTGCCATGGTATCTTCTCATTCCATTTGAGAGAGGAGGAAATTGGGGTGACAAGGGGTCCAGTCATTTCGTCAAAGTCACATGGTGGGCTCAGAACCAACCCTGGGAGGCCACGCGAAGGAGGTGGGCTTTCCTGCAGGGCTGGTGGCGATGGACATTATTTCTGACACGCGCGGGATGGATGCCCACTGGCGCCCTCCCCGCTGCAGCTGCCTGGCCCAGGCGGCCTGCCCCCGGCAAATGGCCGCTCTGACCTGCCCTCCTCCCGGCAGGTGCCCGTGCTGAAGCCCATGGACCTGATGGTGGAGGTGAGCCCGCGGAGGGTCTTTGCCAACGGCCACACCTACCATATCAACTCCATCTCCGTCAACAGCGACTGCGAGACCTACATGTCGGCCGACGACCTGCGCATCAACCTCTGGCACCTGGCCATCACCGACCGCAGCTTCAGTATCCTTTCCCGCCGCTCGCCCCGGTGGCTTCTGGGTGGTGCCGGCTGGTGTGTAAGGAGCTGGCTGGGGGGCTTCTGCTTCGTTCGCCTCCGGTGAGTCCACCGTGTGTGAATGACGCGCAGACGTGAGCTCACGCTCAGAGTTTGTGGACACCTGGGAACCACGGCTGTGGGGGTTACAGCTGACCCCTCGCCACCTCCTCGCCGGGTGGCTGAGACCCCTGTCACCCCGGGTGTGGGACCTCACCAGGGACGAAGGAGGAGGTAAGGTCCTGGGGTCACCCCTCCCAGAGGAGGGACAGCTGATTCTCCTGAGACCGTCCACCCAAGGCTCCTCTGGACCCTCCCGCTGCCCCCCCCCCCCAGGCCTTAGCGTGACAACGAGGGTGTCAAAAGCCCAGCTGGACGGAGCCGGGGCCCTGTGTGGCGGCTCCCTGTGTCTGGACAAGCTAGGGAGTCCAGCGCCCACAGCCGGTGAGGAATGGACTGACCAGGCATGAGCATGGGGCCGAGGCTGGCCGGGCAGGGTGAGTGGAGAGAGCAGCTGGCTGCTACGATGTCCCCGTTCTGAAGACGGATGATAAGACCGAGAGTGACAGCGAGGCTCTTGTCCAGCATTAGCACATCTCACTATTAGCTCATTCACCCCCACCACAGCCCTGTGAGGCAGGCGCAGCTACGACCCTCCTTCACAGATGAGGAGACAGTCACAGGGAGCCCAGGGGACGTGCTGAGCCCACTCCTAGCAGGAGTCCCGCTTCCGCCTTTGGCACCAGGCTGCTCCGTAAAGGCCGGTGCCCGGATGCAGTGAGGGGGCCCTGCCCCTGAGGCCCCTCTGGGTGCCATAAGCCAGGGGAGCATCCAGCAAGCTGGCAGGCGGGCGGAGCTGTGGGGGCGAGAGGGCCGGAGAGCACGAGGGCGCCCACTTTTCTCTGGGGACCCGCTGGGCTGCAGGTGCAGGGTGGGTGGAGGCCAGGGCAGCGGTTTGGGTCCAGAGGAGCACGGCAGACACGGGGCTGATGGTGGATGCAGGGAGTGGGAATAATGGCTGACCCGGGACTTAAGTCAGCGGAGGAGGCGAGGGCTGGTGCTGGGAAGGGAGCGTCAGGTTTGGGATCCCTGTGGGAACTGGGGGCTTCCCTGGCTGCAGGTCCTGCCTGTGGGCAGCCTCTGGTTTGTGAGACTGAACTGTTAGTTGGTCAGCTATAGACGTGTCCGGGCCTTGGGGGAGCGTGCTTGGTGAGGTCCTGGGGACCCGAGGCTCCGGCAGCCTCGCTGTGGGCCTTGGTGCCAGCTCGGCCGCTGAGGAGAGATGGCGCCTCCAGCCTGCGGTGGCTGAGCAGACCTCCCCTGGCCGACGGGTCATCGGGGAGTCTCGCTGCATGTGGCCCCCCTTCCTGTCACACTGGGCTTTCCTCACCTGTTAACATGCCCCGCCCCCATTTTCCAGGGACACCCTGGGGGTCAGGAGCCCAGTCCGCGCCCTCTCTGCACCCCTCCCCCATGGAATGCAGGGCCTGCACACAGTAGGGACTTGTGATGGTTGCAGGTGCGGACTCGAGTGAGGAGGCTCAGTTTCCACCTGGTCCTGGGGTGTAGACACCCCCCGCCCCCATGAGTCTGGGCTCCATGGTGCTCGGGTCCCAGACACTACAGAGGAGCAGGCTGGGTGCTGGGTCTGGACCCCCTGGGCTCCGTTCCTTGCTTAACGTCCTGGGCCATCTGTTCACGCGAATGTGAACTGGGCCACGTTCCTCACTGGGAGGGCGTTTGTAGGGAATAAAGAATCAGTCACTAACCGGGCCCCCGCCGGTGGCTGCCATTGTTCTCCCTCGTCAGCAACGGGCCCCAGGATGGTTAAGGCTCGCTCTCAGAATTCCTGCGGGTTCTCTGTTGGTTTTACCCACCTCCACCTCCACCTCTCTTTAAGCCACCGCTCACGTCCCTCAGTACCAACATTCTGAGACGGTTGGCAGCGCGGGGTCATTTTTCTCGCGTTCGGTGCGTCTCATAGGGAACAGGCTGCTCAGGGGCCTCGGCCCAGGAGCCTCGGCTTTCTGTGTGGCACCGGAGGACTGCGAAGGTGGCTCCATTGATTTCTTCCCCCTGAGTGATGTATCCCGGTGGGAGCTGGCAGTGCACAGGCCCTCCGTCTGGAACGAGGTCTGATTCCTGTTTCCTGAGCGGGTCCCGAGCGAGGCTGGGTGGTGGGCCAGCCGTCGGCAGAGGCTCCAGGCCTCCAGCAGCCTGAGGGCGGGGCTTGTCCCCCACGCAGGGAACAATGGCGCGGACCCACCAGGGCCCCTCTGCCCGCCAGGTCCGCTGCTGGCGAAGCTCCGAGATCCCAGGGTCCAACTGCTTCTGTCACTCACTCTGCCTCGCTGTTCCCATCCGGGCAGCGGGCTGTGCCGCTGGGGCGGGGCTGGGCGGGTGGAGCCGGTGGGTACAGGGCCTGATGTGCCGTAGACCCACCACCCCCTCCTCCATGACCGTGGTCGGCACCTCACAGGAGCCTCTTCGTGCTCCCACAGTCCCACCGTGCAGAGGAGGAAACGGGGGGGCATCTGTTCAAAAATGCCCCAAGTCCGAATCCCCCAGGTCAGGCTTCCGCTTGGAAAACCTGCTGTTAACCCGTGACAGCACCTCAGTGCTGCTCTGAGGCCTCTCTGAGGCCTCTCCGAGGGCAGGCAGGCCGGCCAGCCTCCACCTCCCTGAGAGTGCCCATGCGCTGTCCACGGTGCTGACCCACCTGCCTCTATGCTGCCCAGGGCTCTCCCTGGCTGTGCGCTGTCCACGGTGCTGACTCCCCAGCAGCCTGTCCTGCAGGTCATCACCCTCACCACTTCCCACACACCGGCACCTCCTCCTGAGCCCTTGCTCTGTACCACTTACGCTGTGCCGGACAGTGTTCTAAGCACCTGGAACATATTGACCTACTTAATCCTCTCGACCACACTGTGAAACAAGAGTTATGAAGGTGCCCCCTTTTATTGTTCTGTTTGGTTTTTGTTAATCCCCACCTGAGGATATTTTCCATTTCAGAGAAAGTGGAGGGGAGGGGAGGGAGGGAGGGAGAAGGGAGAAACATTGATTTGAAAGGGACACATCAATTGGTTGCCTCCCACATGTGCCCGACTGGGTCTGGGGGTTGAGCCTGCCGCTGAGGAATATGCCCTTGACTGGGTTCAGTCTGCAGCCCAGTGCTCTGTCCACTGAGCCAAATGGGCCGGGGCAACACGTCCCCTTTACAGGGGGACATAAGCCACAGAAGCCTCTTCGTGCTCCCACAGTCAATCCCACAGATTGACGCAGTGGCAGGGCCTGGGAGTCAGACTCTGGGTCTCTCGTGTAGATGGTCCTTCCGCCTCTGAGAAGCAGGTACACTGCCTGCGGCCCCTCCCCGCCCCGGTCACTCAGACTGCCCCTCAGCCCCAGCCATGGGGTAATGTCTCCTGGCTCCTGTTCTGGATTCTGAGGGAAAGCTGGCACTTTCAGGGCCCTACAGGCCACGCTGGGACTGTGTGTGACACACGTGGCCGATGCATGAGCTCTGTCTGCTCTGGCCTACCGTCCCCTCTGATGGCGGGACGTGCCACTCCGTGGTGCTTCTGCCCCTTCCCGACAGGCCTCTTGGCATGTCTGTAACACGCTGCCGGTTAACACTGGCCCATCACGCCAAAACCAGTTTGGCTCAGTAAACAGAGTGTCGGCCTGCGGACTAAAAGGTCCCAGGTTCGATTCCGGTCAAGGGCATGTACCTTGGTTGTGGGCACATCCCCAGTAGGGGGTGTGCAAGAGGCAGCTGATCAATGTTTCTCTCTCATCGATGTTTCAAACTCTCTATCCCTCTCTCTTCCTCTCTGTAAAAAATCAATGAAGTATATTAAAAACAAAACAAAACAAAAAACTGAACCATCCTGGCTGTAGCCCTGTCGGCCTCCTTCTCCCTCCCTCCCTCCCTCCCTCCCTCCCAGCCTGCCGCTCACAGCACCTCAGCTTCCGCCTCCCTGTCACATGGATCACCCCCCCCCCCCCCGCCACACCCTGGCCCTCCGCCCAGATAACTCCGCTGGCTCTCGGCCCTGGTGTAACGCAATTGCCTCAGAGGACCCGTCACCGACTCTCCAGTCCACCCCAGGGCCTCGTTACAAATCCCCTCACGTGGCCCCGAGTGTCCCTCCTGGAGCATCGCGGTGGGGCCGATAGCTGGCTTCGCTGCCGGGCTCGGAGCCCAGGAAGCCGGGGTGGGGCTGGATCGCCCTCCCAGAGCCAGGAGGAGGCAGCCACTGGACTGTCCAGCTCTGTCCACCTCGGCTTCCCCTCCCGGGTCTCAGAAACCCCGGCGTGCAAGTCAGCACAAACCCTCACAGTGACACCCACCCCCCCCAACCCAAGCATCTCCTGTTTGTTTGTTTTTTCAGAGGAAGAGAAAGGCTGGTTCTGATTTAATCTAACGGGTTTATTGCTAAAAGTACTAACCATGTGTGAGGGTCTTTGTCACGTGTCATTTCATGAAACCCTTATTGCAGCCCTGCAAAGCAGGCGTGGCCAACCCATTCTACAGATGAGAAAAGCAAGGCCCAGAGAGGCGGAGGAGGTTTCCCTAAGTCGCACAGCTATTGCATGGCGGGGTTGGGCCGTCGTGTCCTGATCTTTCTGACTCAGAAGCCAGTGCTCTCTCTCCTGCCTGACCACCTGGGAGTCATCCACCCCGGCTGGGGCAGGGGTGCGTAGACCGGCTCACCACCCAGAGGAGACACGCATGGGCATCGGGGCGTGTGCAGGGAGCAGCCATGCAGGAAGGCCCCTCCCCCATGGCCCCACCTGCCCCAGCAACCTGGTTTCTGCCCCCTGAGCAGACCGCACTGTGAAGATCAAGGTTCTGAGCGGAGAAGAGAAGGAGGCTGAACTGTGACCCCCCTTACCCCCAAAAAAGCTGAAGTCCACATCTCCAGGCCCTCAGGAGGTGGGCGTTCGATCTTTAACGAGGCGATGCAGGCGGATGAGGTCCCGGGGGCCCTGATCCAGTAAGACTGGTGCCTGACAAGGAGAGGAGATTTGGACGGAGAGAGATACCAGGGGTGCACACCCAGAGGGGACCGTGTGAGGGCAGAGACGGTGCCGTGGCGGGCCCAGGAGACAGGCCCGAAGAGCACACCTTTGCTTACGCCTCGATGGTGGATGCTGGCAGGGAGAACTGTGAGAAGATAATTCTCTGCAGGCCGGGCCACCGGCGTGGTGTTGCCGTGGCGCCCCGGAGAAGCTCCCTCGGGCCAGGCTGCCAGGCTCCCTGGAGAAGCTTCTGCACAGTCGGCATGGTTCGGCCTGAGTCAGCGTCCGGGGAAACTTGCTGGAAAGAAGCTGCTTTCTTTGCTGGTGTGGCCCTTTGAGGCCGCCGGCATGCCCGCGTCCCTGGGGCCTGTGTGGGAGGCCCCTCGTGGCTCCTGGGAGAGCTGCCTCCATCCTCACTCCGAGGCTGCTGTCACCATGGTAACAGCCTCTCCCATCATGAGCGTGTTCCTGCCGAGACATCTGGGTGAAGCACGCTTTGCTCAGTTGAATCGGTGGAGCCCAAGGCCGTGTCCTGCTGGTCGCTGAGCCCGCCTGCTCTCGGAGTCCACCTCCCGGTGGACAGGCCAGCCCCTCATGCTGCACCTGGAAAGCAGGCATGCAGCAGGGACCTGGCCCGCTCAGGGGGCACTGTCATTCCAGAGAGAGCGAGGCCAGCCGCCCAGACTGGAGCCCAGGCTCCACCCAGCACTGGGCACCGCCAGGTCAGGGCCAAAGCCGTGGTCCTCGGAGGACCAGGTGCCTCTAAGGGGCCAGGCGTGTGGCCGCCGGTGTGGGCCCAGGGTCCACGTGTCTGTGTGGGGCATAGTGTGCTCCGTACCGAGGGTGCCGTCCGGCCCCAGGGGTGCCGGGCATGGGCTCTGGATCTTGGGGTTCAGAGACACACGTGGACCCTGACTCTGGCTTTGTCTCCCTCCACCAGGGTCGCGTGGAAATGCAGGCTCCGTGTGGCACCCTGTCTTTCCCTGGCACCCGCTATATCCAGACCCCTTGTTTTGCTAATTCCCATTGATGTTTAGAGAGTGGAAGGGGGAGAGGGAGGGGGAGAGGGAGAGAGACACATTGATTGGTTGCTTCCTCATGCGTCGCAACCAGGGACAGAGATTGAACCTGCCACCCAGATACATGCCCTTGACCAGTAATAAAGGCCGTGACCCTTCAGGCCACAGGCCAGTGCTCTAACCACTGAGCACGCCAGCCAAGGCAGAGTCCTCTTTTGAGAGCGCAGGAGAGGGTCTCTGTGGCTGGGCTGCGAGGCTGATGGGGGTGGCCTTCGCATCACAGATGCTGCAGCTTCTCCTCCTCCAGCTCCAGCCTCATTTCTCGTGATTTAATCTCCGCTGCTTTTCGCACAGAAAACCGTTTCCAGGGCAACCGCTCAGGCGGGGTGACGCAGCCCCTGGCCCTCTCTGCCTGTTTCTGGGTGATTCTCCGTTTCTGGGAAGCACCATGCTTCCCAGGAGGTGGGGTTTGAGGGCGAGCACAGACCCTCCTCGGGGTGCTCATGTGCAGGGTCAGGGTCTTCTGATCCTTACAGACCCCCGGGGTGTCAGGGAGAGGAGGTGAGGGTGTCAGGAGAGGGGAGACCCCAGGGTGTAGGGATGGAGAGACTCGGGGTATGGGGTGGGGTGACCCCAGGGTGTATAACGAGGATTCATGCAGCTTCCAGAAGGCGCCCCTTTGTACCGAGAGAAAGCAGTGGGGAGGGGCGGAGGGGCTGACGGACGGGAGGTGAGTCTCAGAGTTGGGTTGGCGTTAAGGTCACGTTAATGGCGGGCCACTGACAGGCACCGGCTCTGAGATGCGGCAGGCCGTGTGCTCATGGGCAGGAACCGTTAGCCCGTTTCACAGGCCAGGAGACCAAGGCACCGAGGACCGGGAACTGTCCTGGGTCACCCCGCAGGGCTGGCCGAGCTGGCTGGGGCCTCCGCACACGCGGGCGGGGCTCCCATTCAGAGGCACCGGCGCCCGCGGCCCAGGCAGCCGGGAAGGCCCCGTAGCGAAGTGCCCGGGGGCCTCTGAAGCTGGAAGGTCGATGGCGGGGCTGTGCACCAGCCTGGAACGCCTGCCAGGGCTCGATGCCCATGTGGGGAGGGCGGGCAGCAGTCCCCCAGCTGCTCCCGCTGCGTCGCCCGGATAAGGCGCTCGCCCCCGGCTCCGTGTGTGCGCCGGGGACACGCCTTTCCCGGCGGAGAGGTCTTGGTCCCGAGCAGCACATGCTCACAGGCGGCCCAGCCCCTGCAGCCTGGCCCGGACACGGAGGCACACAGACCACCCCGCCCTTCGTGCTGTCCGAGGCTCAGCTCCCGCTTCCCTCTGCCCCCCTCCCCTCCACACCCAGCAGAGGGGCCGCAGCCCTCCCCTCGTGGTGGCTGAGCGGGTGGGAGGCACCGATCGGAGCCCCAACCCAGAAGGCAGGGCCTTTCCCCAGGGGACCCTGCTGCTGCAGGCAGAGGGGAGTGGGCACGGTGGGCGGGGAGCGGGCAGTGCCACCCCCTCAGCGCCGGGGCGGGGGCCCGGGGAGGGCCACTGGGTGCCCAGCGTGCGGCAGGCGCCCCACCACGCTCTGCCTTCTGCCCGCTCCGACGGGGGGTGAGGGGGCAGGCGGAGGGGCCTCCGTGGATGGCACTGGCGGGCAGAGGGCACAGGTCAGGAGGGAGGTGGCAAGTCCAGGCTTTTGGGACAGTGGACGGGCACCCAGCCAGTGGGCGGTTCGACATGCAGGCCTGCAGCTTGGGGAGTCTCTGGGATGCGGAGAGGTGGCTCAGATGTGGGGTATGTCAGGGAGGGGGTGGGGAGACCCGGGTGTAGGGTGGGGAGGCGCTGGGTACAGGGTGTGGGATCCCGGGGGGAGGCCTGGGAGGCAGAGCGCCCACACTTCCTTGACGGGCCAGACATCGTGGACATCAAGCCGGCCAACATGGAGGACCTCACGGAGGTGATCACGGCATCTGAGTTTCACCCGCACCACTGCAACCTGTTCGTCTACAGCAGCAGCAAGGGCTCCCTGCGCCTGTGCGACATGCGGGCGGCCGCCCTGTGCGACAAGCACTCCAAGCGTGAGCCGCTGGGGGGGCGGTGAGGGGGCTGGGGGCGGGGGCGGGGGGCAGGCTCAAAGGGAGGCGAGGCTGCTGAGGGTCGGGGTGGGAGGATGGAGAAGACATGAGCCCTGGGTGGGCCTCGGGTGGGCCTCGGGTGGGCCTAGGGAAGCATGAGGCCCCAGGTTCTGGGCTCTGAGCTCCAGGGAGGATGTGGAGAGGCAGCAGGTGCCGGAGCGGGAGGTCTGGCTGGGGAGGTGGGAAGCCGGGCCAGGAGGAGGCTGCTTTCCGGGTTCTGCAGTTCAGAGGCCTGGCCTGGGTCTCCCCAACAGGGAGCAGTCGGTCGGCAGGGCGGTCCTCTCGGGGAGCTGGGGGAGCCCGCCCTCGCCCCGTTTTACTGAGATTGTTCCTCTTGTAAGACGGCTGGCCTGCACGTGCGCCACTGAGAAGCCTTAGCAACCTCGAGTGTAACCTGTTATTGTTGCTTTATGCAAACTGACTATCGGAGTTAATTTTGTATTTTAAAGTTTTGTGGATTTTCCTATTTTTGGTTAATCCTCACTAGAGGATTTTTTTCCTTTTTTTTTTTTTTTTTTAAGTGGAAAGGAAGGAGGGACGGGGAGAGGGAGAGAAACATCGATGTAAGAGAGATACATCAGTCGGTTGCCTCCTGCACGTGTCCCTACCAGGGCCGGGATTGAACCTGCAACCCAGACACGTGCCCTTGACCCGGAATCACACCCGTGACCCTTCAGCGCACAGGCTGGCGCTGTGACCGCTGAGCCACCGCCCAGGGCTGTGGATTTATTTTTTCCTCAAACCCAACACCCTGCACAGGAGCTTCCAGTGAAGACAGCACAGGCGCCTGCCCTCCTCCTGCCCTCGCAGCTCCCGTGTCCGTAGTGGGTGGGGCCTGTGTCCTGCATAGGCCCCACCCTGACCCCCTCACCTCTTCGTTCTCCCGAGGGGGTGGCACTGTTTTGAATCAGAACACAAATGACTGTCATTTGAGCTTGATTTTTATTCATTTATTTTTAAAAAATATATTTTATCGATTTTTTAGAGAGAAAGAGAGAGGGATAGAGAGCCAGAAACATCGATGAGAGAGAATCATCGATCAGCTGCCTCCTGCACACCCCCTACTGGGGATGTGCCCGCAACCCAGGTACATGCCCTTGACCAGAATCGAACCCGGGACCTTTCAGTCTGTAGGCCGACGCTCTTATCTGTTGAGCCAAACCGATTTCAGCTATTCATTTATTTTTAAACATATATATATACTGAGTGGCCAGATTATTATGATCTCTGAATGCATAACTGGCCCTCAGTGTATATCCTATATAATAAAAGGCTAATATGCAAATTGTCTCCTCGACCAGGAGTTCTACCAGCAGGCAGGCCGGCCGGCCAACTGCCCATGTCCCCTCCCCCTGTCCAGGCTGGCCGGACCCCACCCATGCACGAATTCATGCACCGGGCCTCTAACACACACACACACACACACACACTGAGTGGCCAGATTATTATGCGTTCAGAGATCATAATAACCTGGCCACTCAGTATATATGTTTTAATATTTTTATTGATTTCAGAGAGGAAAGGAGAGAGAGATAGAAACATCAATGATGAGAGAATCATTGACCGGCTGCCTCCTGCATACCCTCTACTGGGGGTCAAGCCTGCACAGGCCTGTGCCCTTACCAGGAATCTGACTTAGGACCCTTCCGTCCACAGCCGATGCTCTAGCCACTGAGCTAAACCAGCGAGGGCCTATTTTTATTGATTTCAGAGAGGAAGGGAGAGGGAGAGAGAGATAGAAACATCAGTGATGAGAGAGAATCATGGATCGGCTGCCCCCTGCAGGCCCCCTACTGGGAATGGAGCCTGCAACTCAGGCCTGTGCCCTGACCCGGAATCGAACCAGGACTTCCTGGTTCAAAGATCGATGCTCAACCCCTGAGCCACGCCAGCCGGGCTGAGCCGATTTTTAAAAACGACTTGGAGATCAGAACTCTTTCTTTCCGTCCCACCTCCGTCCACCTACCCAGCTGCTGCTCACACTCAGGGACCGGCTGAGCGTGACTCCGAGATGCAGCCATGGCGCCCCTTTCCCAGTGGGTGAGACGGGCGTTTCTGAGTAAAGGGCGCCCCAGCTGCCATGACACAGATGAGGAGACCGAGGCTCAGGCAGAGCCGTGCCCCTCCCCCTCCCCCTCCCCCTTCCCCTTCCCTCCCCTCTCCTCTTCCTCCCCTCCCCCGGGCCTCCCTCGGGCAGAGCTGGGTGCCCCGTGGCTGCTGCCTGGCCCAAAGCTTCCTGTCTTTCTCCGAAGCAGAAGGAATCAAGGTCTTTTGTCCGCTGGTCATTAAGACAGCGTAACCATGGAAACGGCTGTACAGGGGTCCTCAGAACAGACCGTTATTTCTGTTTCAACAGCGCGAAGTCTGCCAACAGGAGGGCTGCGCCGAGCTCGGCGAGTTCTTAGGCCAGGCGGTGGGGGCCATTGCCCCTATGGCCCCTACTGTGCGCTGCCCCCCAACACCCCCCGCCCCGTGCGGGGGAAGAGCCACGGCTGAGGGTGGGGGTGTTGGCGGCACATGGGGTGCTGTGCTTACTCGCAGGCACCCTCAGCCTGCCCTGTGAGGAGGCCGGTGGTGTTCACGCACAGACCGGAGGACGGCTGAGTCTCCCAGGGCGGCTGAGACCGAGGGCCACGCTTGTGTTTGGCTTAAGACGGCACAAATATGCCTGGCTGGTGTGGCTCGGCGGTTGAGCATTGACCGATGATTCCCACCCATGGCCGGGCTGCGGGCTTTATCCCCAGTGGGGGGCGTGCAGGAGGCAGCCGGTCAGATTCTCTCTCACCATTGATGTCCCTCTCTTTCTCCCTCTCTGACTTAATTAAAACTAGATTTAAAGACCCACAGAAGTATGTTCTTTTACAACGTGAGCGCAGAGGCCCCAAATCCAGGTACGGGTTGGGCCATCTTTCTTCTGGAAGCTCCAAGGGAGAATCTTCTAGAGGCGCCTGCACCCGGACCTCCGCTCTGCTCACCCCTCTTTCCTCCGGCCCTTGGCCTCCCTGTCTCCGGCTCAGGGGAACCCGGAGGTCAGGGCGGCCGGGGCAGTCCCTGCCGCTCGGGGCCCGTCCACCTGCCGAGGCTTTGCCAGCGGAGGCAGCACGTGCAGCTCCGGGGACTGAGAGGCAGCCATCGGGGGGGCTCAGAGAGGTTAAGACACGTCCCCTGGGTCACACAGCCAGGCAGAACCAGCAGAGAGGCTCCGATAGTCTCCCGCCCATGGGTCCATGCTCTTTCACTCTTCACCGAAGCCTTGAGGACTAAGAACTCTCGTGGGGATTGTGAGTGAGCCAGGCCCATCGACCAGGGCTAAGGGGCGCCCCAGACCCAGCCACCTTCTGTGGGGAGGCCCCGAGGTCCGGGGGGCAGAGCCAGGACAAAGTCTCCCCACAGGACGGCCAGCACCAAGGCCCTGGGGCCGGACCCCGAGGCCCCTATTGGCCAGAGCACAGCGGTGAGAGGCGGGTGGGAGCTCAGAGCGGCAGGTGGCTGGGGGGTGGGGGGTCGCACCCAGAGGGATGCACAGACCGGAGAGCTTGGGGGTTCTCAGGCGGGAGAGCAGCCGGGGTGTGTGTGGCGGGAGGGGCCTGGCCGGGTCGCCGCTGGGTGGATGCCAGATGACCTGTGACAGAGGCCAGACCCGTCCGGGGAGCGCACAGCCCCACCAGGGACCATACAGGAGACAGCCTGGGGCTGTGAGGGCGACCGGGCTGCGAGTCTGATTTCTTTGGAGCCTCTGGACGAGATGCCCAGGGAGCTGGGCATCTGGATGGAGGCTCAGAAGGACGTGTAGGAGTTGGCAGGAAAGATGGGCTAAACATGGACAAGGAGAGTTCAGGGAGCAAAACTGGGGACAAAAAACTGTAAAAATAGTCACCGTTGTACCAAGCAGCTGCTCCAGCCCCTCGCAGGCCGCATTCCCAGGGGTTCCCTCCAGGGGCCCCACCATGCTGTTCGCCGGGTGAGTGGACTGGAGCTCGGAGAGGTCAGGGGTCACACAGAGCGGTGCTCTGCTCCGCTGCCTGGCACGTGGCAGGGCGAGGGCCAGGCGTCATGGCAGGAGGCCTCCCTCAAGGCGGCCCTGAGACCCATTCCGGGGGCACCCTCCCAGCCCTGCTGGCTCTGGCTGTAGGTTCGGCCCCGGCTGGAAGGCGTGGGTGCGGCTGCAGGAGGCTGAGTGTCTGTCTGAGGCTGGAGCAGGACGCCGGTGGCCATTGGGATCCAGGAGCTCATCAGCCCCATGAGGAGCCTGCGCCTGGGCCCTGTGGGCGCCTGGGCCCTGTGGGCGCCGGGCCCTGTGGGTGCTGGGAGCCCTTGGGCGCCGGGACCTGTGGGCGCCGGGACCCTGTGGGCGCCTGGTCCCTGTGGGCGCCCGGAGCCTGTGGGCACCAGGAGCCGCAGGGCCTGAGCAAGGAGGGGTGCCCCCCATTGGAGCTGGAGAGGAGGCTGCCTCTGGCCTCCCTCTGCCTGCGTTTCTGTGGACGCGCAGGTGCCTGCAGCCGGCGCCCCGCCATGTCACTGTGGCTATCGGAGGATGTGCTTCCCACCAGCCCTTGTGGGTGACGGTAGTGACACCACGAGGCACCGCAGAGCAGGGAACCGGCAGGGCCGGGAGAGCTGTTAGGTGGAGCCGTTGAAGTCAAGTAGGTGGCGATTTCTGTGGACTCAGAGCCCCAGCTGTGAAGTAATTGGGGTCAGGGGGAGGGGCCTTTACACTCTCGGCAGCACTAATTGCCCTGAAATGCCCTTGGCAGGCCCGTCAGTGAGGAGGGAGACCCCGATCCTCTTACTGACGCCCAGGAGACACCCTGTGCGGTGGGAGAGACATGGAAGAGGGCGCAGCAGACTCTGCTGTCATTTGATAAAACAATTCTGTGCCAGAAACTTCAAAGAAAAAGACGAGCGCGCAAGCCTGCGGAAGTAAAGGCGTTGGTGCTCTGGTTATCCCCAGGCCACAAAACACGCCTCTGAGGTGACCGGAGAGAAGTCAGAGGCTGGAGAGGCTGGAGGTGACCAGCAGGGACCCCCCTGGTCCAGCGCCTGGAGGTTGTGCTGACACCTCGCTGTGCTGGCGGCACCCTCACCACTAGGTGGCGGTAGAGTGCAGCAAGCCCGTGCCTGTTCCGCTCAAAATCCTTCCAGCTGGGAGACCTAGGGCTAGGGTTCAGCCTTCTGTGCCTCAGTTTCCTTGGCTATAAAGTGGGAATATATATACTTCCTCTGTTTTGTGGGGGATGAGACGCAGTGACTCAGAGAAAGGGCTGCCCTGGAGCAGCGGCTGCCAGGCTGGGAGCGGCCAGGCCCGGAGTAGCTGGGCCCAGAGCAGCCGGGTCGGGTGCGGCCAGGCCTGGAGCAGCAACAGCCAAGTCCAGAGCAACTAGGTTGGGAGCGGCAGTGACCAGACCCGGAGCAGCTGGTTGTGGAACGAACCAGAGCAACAGAGGCCAGGTCCGGAGCAGCCAGGCCCGGAACAGCTCGCTCCTCACCTGCCCCTGCCCCACGGCTGCCTCTCAGACATGGCTGGAAACTTTTGTGGGAACTTGAGGGTCTGCTGAATCAAGTGATGAAGGCTTAGATCTGGATGTGTTGAGTTAGTATGGCGCTGGGGTGTTGATCTGTGAGCGCCTTGGGTGGGGCCTGGATGAGGCTGGTTGACCTATTTGGAAATGTCTTTTGTGTGAAGTGTATCATTGGGCATGTGGAGGTATTATTGATATGAGAAAATGCTAAGTAACAGATTTACTATCTGAAAAGGGATTTACTGTCGGGGAAAGGGAGGGAGGAAGAGACTGAACATAAACTGTGCACCTATGGATGAGGACAGTGGGGGATGGGGAAGGGGGGAGGGGGGTGGGAACCTTTGTAATAATATGAACAATAAAGATTGATTAAAAGAAAAAGAAAAAGAAAAAGAAAACAGAGGAAGGGCTGTGGACTGGCTCAGCATTGGTGCTCAGTAAACACGGCTGGCTCTCCCCTCTGCGGGGTCTGTCCTGGGCGGGTGACTCCGGGCCTCGGTTACTGGTGTGGTGGAGGGTGAGGACCCTCAGGGGCGCACAGGGGGGACAGCAGTGTGGTCCGCGGCCGTGCGGGAGCGGCCGGTGGCGGTGACTGCGTCTGTCTGTCTCCGCAGTCTTCGAGGAGCCCGAGGACCCCAGCAACCGCTCCTTCTTCTCGGAAATCATCTCCTCTGTGTCCGACGTCAAGTTCAGCCATAGTGGCCGCTACATGCTCACCCGGGACTATCTCACAGTCAAGGTCTGGGACCTGAACATGGAGGCCAGGCCCATCGAGACCTACCAGGTGGGCCGTGGCGGAGACCCCAGCCCCTCCCCTGTGCCGGGACCCCCCCCCCCGGAGGGGCTGTCCCACGTATGGGGAGGGGGACAGCCATCATACGCCCATCTTGTAAGTGAAGACGCTGAGGCTCAGGAAATGAAGCAGACGTAGCTTGGCCAAGGGGGGAGGCCGGTCCAGCCCCGCCTGGCAGGCAGCTGTGTGTCCCCTGCCCGCCAGCTGCTGCCCTGAGGGTCTGGTCTCCCGGTCACGGTGCCTGTCCCCTTGCTGCCACCACTCGGGGTTGGCCAAGTGCCAGGTGTGGGCCCTCCCGGGTGAGCTGGGCTGGCTCAGGAGCATCAGACCGGAGGACAGCCCCTCGCTGCTCAGGGGGGCCCTCCCCTGGAGGGGCTGGGGCGGCCTGGGTCCCCACTCACCGGCCCCCTCGTCCGCCAGGTGCACGACTACCTGCGGAGCAAGCTGTGCTCCCTGTACGAGAACGATTGCATCTTCGACAAGTTTGAGTGCGCCTGGAACGGGAGCGACAGGTAAGGCGCCTCACCCAGCGGGAAGCCCCCCGCCCCCCCCACCGTCACGAGGATTCGCTGACCAAGGAGTGGGGAGGCGGCCGCCCTCCCGGCCGCAGGCACCACTCAGCCCTCCGTTCCGGGACAGGAAGCAAGCCCGCCTCCCGCGCTCCACGGGGACCCCTGCCCTGAGGCTAGCTGCGGGGACACCTGGCACCCCCTCCAGGCCCTGCACAGGCCGCCCAGACACCCCCGTGTGGGCAGGCTCCTGAGGAGCCTCTGAGCTGTACCCCTGACACCTTGGGGTTCCCTCATAAACGTGCCAGTGGGTCGTGGGTTGGGGGTTCAATTCTTAATGCTAGCAAAAGGTCAATCCCCAGTTGTGTGTGTGCATGTGCTTGTGTGTGCATATGTGTGTGCATATGTGTGTGCACGTGTGTGTTGGGGTTTCCGCAGGTTGGGAAGGCTGCCTGCCCTTCCTCACATGGCCACCAGGGGGCGCGCGTGGCCAGGCGATGCCTGGCTCCCTGGGCCAGGTGCCCCAAGCTCCTCCCAGCTGCCTGGGGCCCACCACTTCCTGCCCCGCACTTCACCCTGAGCAGCCCAGTCCGGTGGGAGGCGGCTCCATCCTCCGCGCCCCTCAGCGTTAGCACCTGTGGGCTGCAAATAGCTTAGTGAGCTGACTCTCCTCCCCCAACTATGGGATCAGAGCTCCACGCTGCTGGTTCACTGGGGAGAGGAGAGGCGGGAGAGTGGCGTCCCCTTGCTCTCACAGGGAGGACAGTGGACGGACAGACGGACCGCTCTCCTTGGCCGGACCGGCATGTCTGTGGACATTTGCACAGCAGCCGTGTGCAGAGAGCATTCACGTACTCACTCAGCTGCTCAGAGCACAGGGGGTCCTGGGGTCCTGCGGGCAGGAGGGGCTGGCTGGCTGGGGGCCTGCCCTTGGCCGGCCTCCTGACAGCCCAGCATCTCTCCCTGTATGCCCCCTGCGGCCCCCCACCCCCACCCCGCCCTCCGACCTCAGACCTTGTCTCCTGAATGCCTGGACTCTCGCTCTGGACCGGAGGGGCACATTCAGGAGACTTCTGTTGGGTGTTGGGGGCAGAGGACTGGACGTGTGGGGGTGATGGCAGCTGAGACATCGGGGAGGAAGAGGGGTGTCCCAGAGGCAGGCCGGCAGGCCGGCCTCCTCCCCGGGCCACCTCTCGGGGCGCCGGCCGATGCCTGGGGGGAGGGGCAGCGTCCTCCCCGAGCCCCCGCTGACGCCTCCCTCCCCGCAGCGTCATCATGACCGGGGCCTACAACAACTTCTTCCGCATGTTCGACCGCAACACCAAGCGCGACGTGACGCTGGAGGCCTCGCGGGAGAGCAGCAAGCCGCGGGCCGTGCTCAAGCCGCGGCGCGTGTGCGTGGGCGGCAAGCGGCGGCGCGACGACATCAGCGTGGACAGCCTGGACTTCACCCGCAAGATCCTGCACACGGCCTGGCACCCTGCCGAGAACATCATCGCCATCGCCGCCACCAACAACCTGTACATCTTCCAGGACAAGGTCAACTCCGAGATGCACTAGGCGTGTGCCCGGCCGGCCTCCCCGCAGGCGGCCGCGGCCGCTCCGGCACGGCAGGGCGTTGTGTGTGTGGGGGGTCCCTGTGGCCCAGCCTCCTCCGGCTCCCCCAGGCCCGGCGCCTTCCAGGGAGGAGAACGAGGACCACAGCACAGACTGCAGCACAGACGCCGTCGGCCTTGCCGCTCAGGGCTCCTCGTCCTGGGACTTGACCCCGCGCTGTCTTTCCCACGTCACTAGGGTTTTCCTGTCTTCGGTTCATTTGGTTAATTTTCCCTCCAGCGGCTCCTTACGCTCCCAGGTCGGGTTCCGGACAGAGAATGACGCTCCGATGAGCCTGCAGGGCCCTCAGAGCCGGAAGGGAGTGGTTTGCAGGGCCCCTGCGTGTGGGGGACTGAGTTCACGCTGCTGTGAGTTCACGCTGAGACGCTGGGGCGCTGGCTCGTCTTTTGGGTTCTTTCCAGGTCTTTCCGTGTCCCGGTCTGCCAGAGTTCTGGGTGGAGGGGGGTGACCTTTTCCCATGGGTGTGCCTGCTACTCTCACCCACCCCGCCGACCTCGCCGCCCGCAGGCCCCAGGCTCAGGCACCATGTCACCCCTGTGCCCCCAGCACTCCACACAGTCCCCGGGCACTTGTGGGGACTTCCTGCTCCGCCAGACCTTCTGGAATCTTCATCGTGACCCTCCACGCACACCTGCTGCTCACGGCGTGCCAGGCTCTGTGCCAGGGGCCATGGGCGGGAAGGCGCGCAGTTTCTCATCCCCATTGCACACACGAGGAAACGGTCCCCGGAGGACACACAGCTAGCCCATGGCGTGCACCCGTGGGGGCCGAGGCACAGTCCTATCCGGTCTCCCGCGGGCACCGGCCTACCACGCTGGCGGCCACACAGAAACCACAGCCTGGCCCGGAGCGTCGCCCCGCCTGGAGCAGACAGAGCAGGTGGATGACCGGCCGGAGAACGAGAATGGAGCAGGTGGAGAATGGACAAGCCCGGGGCTCCCCTGTCTGCTGGCCTCAGGAGCTGCCCGCCCCCCCTGCTCCCCCGCGGCGCCCTCTCTCCTCCGCAGACACGCCGACCCGCCTCCCAGAGAAAATTGCATGTTAGGACCATTTTAAGCACCTTTTCTTTAGGGACAATCTGGGACCAGCTCCGCCCGCCCCTCCCCGCCCGCCACCCGCCCTGTCTCTGCCCAGGCCCCGCCAATCCCCACAGTTATTTATTTATTTATTTGTTTGTTTTAACTCGCTGTCACCGGATGAGGACGTGGACCCAGTGAGGTTCCGTGGGGACGGGACCTGCCTGGATGTCAAAGCACAAACGCATGGCGCTCGGCTCCGGCCGTCCACACAGGCGGGGTCCGGGCACCCCTTTTCCATCCACGCGGACGGAGAATGTGCGTGCATCGTGGCCAGCCCGGCCAAGGACGCTCTGCATGTACATATGCTCCGGAAGGACCACAGGACTGGACTCCGCCCCCCGGGGAGAGCTTCCAGAACGGGGTCCATGGTCTGGGATCTTGTGGGAGCCGAGCTCCAGCGCGGAGGGCCTGGCCGGTCCCTGGGGTGCTCCGCAGACCGTCCCCTCTGAGAGTGCGCCCGAGAGGAAGCCCCGCCAGACGGCACACGCTGAGGCCGGCTCTCACGCACGGCCGAGAGGGAGTCGGTTTTAAACTCCAGCGGATACCGAACCACAAAGGGGAAGGAAGACAACCCTCTTCCCGAAGGAAAGCCCGTCCTGGATCCCCGGGAAATGGGGTCCAGAGGACACTGAGTGCGGAGAACAGGGTTGGGGGCGGAGGGCAGAGCCGCAGACGCGGGAGGAGGGAAGGACCGGGAGACGCTCACAGGCGTGGCTTCCCGGAGGCTGGTGTCTCTGCTCTTGGCGCCGGGGCGGGCTCCCGCGTCCTTGCCAGGTGGTGGCTGTCTGTCTGGCTGTCTGTCTGCTCCGTCCTCCGAGGCGGCTGGGTGGCCCGGGGCCGGGCGGGGGGCGTGGACAGACGGGCCGTGTTGGACCCTGTCGCTCACGGGTGCGCTGTTTTCTTTGGTGTCTCACAGATTATCCAGCTGTTGAATAAAATTATAAATATGTGAATACCAGCCTTTTCCAATAAAATAACAAATGTTACATCGAAAATGAGGCTCAGAAGGGTGTTTGTTTTTTAGTTATTCATTTAAAGTATGTTTTTATTGATTTCAGAGAGGAAGGGAGCAGGGGAGAGAGAGAGAGAAACATCAGTGATGAGAGAGAATCATGGATGGGCTGCTGCTTGCACGCCCCACACTGGGGACCGGGCCTGCAACCCTGGGCCTGTGCCCCGACGGGGAACTGAACGGTGACCTCGGGTTCATAGGTCGCGCTCACCCCCTGCGATGCGTGGGCCGGGCCGGTGTTGTTCGAGCGAGGCCCGAGTGACACACGGGGTGCAGGGAGGCCCGGCCGCTCCAGCTCCGGGTGCAGCCCGGGATCTCGCCGAGCTCATCACCGAGGAAACAGCTGGTCCTCTCAGCCACGTCGCTCCGGAGGGACGGGGCGTGTGGCGAGGCCTGCAGAGCACGGTTCTGAAGCCGGGGGGCAGCACCCACCACGGTTTCCCGCTCCCCCTGTCCCCCAGCATCCTTTGGGTTTTCACACCCCCCGGGAGGACAGGCTGCAGACGGGGAAGCCGAGGTGCCGAGAGGCTGAGGATGGGCTGGAGCTGCCCCGTGGGGAGGGCGGAGAGGGGGCGTGGGGCCTCCCCGGGAGGAAGGGCCCGGTGCAGGGAACGTGGGCCCAGCCGGGATTAGGAAAGGCCGGACATGGGCTCCCCTCAGGGTGTCCGTCCAGCAGGAGCCAGCCCTGCCCACACCCCGACTGCCAGGAGACCTGCCGGCGCCTGGCCCACCCCGTGAGAGGAAAGGTGTGGGGGCTGCGCTGCTCTCGTCCCACGGGCCCTGGGGAACGAGTTCACGTGGCACCTTCAACCTTTCCCGGCCGAGCCCTGCAGCTCTCACAGCCCAGGGCCCTCGGCGGTGCCAGCGCGTGCCTGGCACACCCGTGAGAGGCAGTGGAGGTAGAGCCATCGGATCCACGCTGCCCTCGGGGAGGGTGGCAGGTGGGATCCTGCTGGGAGCTCCCGGCAATGGGCTGGCACCCACATCGTGGTGCGGGGCGGGGGGAGGGGCCCTAGAAGGCAGGGGTGCATAGGGAGCTGGGCCTTGGGCTGGGTGGGCTGCGGGCAGGCGCCCCGGCTCAGAGCTGTGTGGGGGCTGGGATGAGGCGGGAGAGTAGGGAGCGAGGGAAACTCCTTGGCTGGTGGAACGGGGAAACGGACGCAGCTGGACACGCGGGCCGAGCGGCTGACAGTCGGACACAGGCATCCCCCGGGCAGAGGGCCCGGGCCTGGCAACGGGCACATCGGTGGCCGCCCTCCCCTGGCATCTCGCTGGTCCTGTGGCCTAGACCCCTGACCTTTGCCCCTGGAGAGAATGGAGGCTGGGGTGGATTCCGGCTCCAGGCCCAGCGAAGCAGCAGAGCCAGGTGGGATGCCAGGACCGGCTGCGGTGACCGATGACCCACCGGCGCCGACCAATCAGGGGAGGCCGCGGCCCCGAGGGGCACCCCTGGAGAGCGATGGGCCTTCTACCCAGACCCCCCCAGACCTCCAACCCACGGCCTTCAGGAGCCTAAGACCCCCCTCAGGCCCCCAACCCACAGCCTTCAGGAGCCTAAGACCCCCCTCAGACCCCCAACCCACAGCCTTCAGGAGCCTAAGACCCCCCTCAGACCCCCAACCCACGGCCTTCAGGAGCCTAAGACCCCCCTCAGACCCCCAACCCACGGCCTTTGAGCTGGCAGCAGCCCGCCGGGCTCACTTCCTTCCTCTGAGGTTTCTAGGGGCCAAAGCGGCCCCCTCTCGCTGCTGCTGCTTCTGTCCTCGGCCCCCATCTCGCTGTCCCAGCTCCCATGGGCACCCCCTCCTCCACCCGGGCTGCTGAGTGCTTCCCTGCTCCCAGTCGAGAGCCCACGCAGGCCAGGCCGCGGAGGGCCCGTGTCTTCCCAGGAACAGCGAGAAGTCTCGCCCAGGCTCCGCCCCGTCTCTGGACCTCTCCGAGCCACAGGCGTTGTCACCCTCCCTCTCACCCTCCTGCCTCAGCCCAGGGGGCTCCGAGGCCCTGACCCCCCTGGGCTCCGTCCGGGAGCCTTGGCCCCGCATGTGGCCCTCTCGGCGATCGGCCTGGCTGCTGGCATTCCTTCCCTCAGCCACCTTTCCATGGGCACCTGGGAGCCATGCCCGTGCTGAGGGCTCTGTGTACAATAATGCTGCGACTTCCTGCACGTTACAGATAAGGAAACTGAGGCACAAAGAGAGGGCTTCGCAGGGCTGTACACTTGAGTCCGGGAGCCAGGCGGGACCGGGGCCGGGCAGCCGGCACCTCCCCAGGCGATTCTGATGGCTGCCGGCCACGGGGCCTGGGGTCCTCTGCCCAGAACGAAGGCTGCTCCCCACCCAGCCCCCAGACTGCTGACCAGAGCCCCCGTCCCTGCCCCCACGCAGGGCAGGGCCTGCAGAGGCTCAGCCACCTGGTGGAAACTTGAGCAAAGGCTCCGGCTTCGGGGTGGTTTCCCGGCAACCGAGCAGCTTGAAGAGCTCAGAATAATCGCCTGAGTTCTGAGCGATTCACGACTCACGTCAAACACGTCGAACGCTCCATCCTTTCGGAAAAACAAAGCCCCATTATCTCCCGGATCCATTAGGCCGGGCCCACGCAGTCAGGCGGTGCGAGCCGTGCCTCAGGGAGCGGCTGGGACGTGGGCAAACGGCAGCGACAGAAGTGCCCACGGAGGTGGGAGGGAACCCGGTTTTAAAATGATGGCCCGCTGTCAAACATGCAGAACAGCCCTCATCGGTGTGGCTCAATGGATAGAGTGTCGGCATGCGGACCGAAGGGTCCCGGGTTCGATTCCGGTCAAGGGCATGTACCTTGGCTGCGGGCACATCCCCAGTGGGGGTGTGTGCAAGAGGCGGCTGATGGATGATTCTCTCTCATCGATGTTTCTAACTCTATCCCTCTCTCTTCTTCTCTGTAAAAAAAATCAAAAAATACATTAAAAAACACACATGCAAAACAGACATGGAAGTTGGAGAAGCAAATTGTTCCCGTTACACCTGTGCAAAGCCCTCTGGAGGGCGGGGACCGGGCAGCGTGGGTGAGCCGGGGGCAGCCTTGCCGGCCCGCGGGCCCTGAGAGAGCAGACAGAGTGGAGAGCACGCTCACTGTTACTTTCCCCGAAGGGCAGGGGCCGGTGCCCTGTGAGGGCACAGGCTCCGGGACAGGGG